CCGGCCGAGCCCACGCCGGCCCCGGCGCCCGAGGAGGAGGCCGAGGGCCCGGCCGCCGCCATCGCCGCCGCCGCCGCCGAGAGCCCCCGCGGGCCGCTGGGCCCGGGCTCGGGCATGCTGCTGTACCTGTGTCCCGAGGCGCAGTGCGGGCAAACGTTCGCCAAGAAGCACCAGCTGAAGGTGCACCTGCTGACGCACAGCAGCAGCCAGGGCCAGCGGCCCTTCAAGTGCCCCCTGGGCGGCTGCGGCTGGACCTTCACCACCTCGTACAAGCTCAAGCGGCACCTGCAGTCACACGACAAGCTGCGGCCCTTCGGCTGCCCGGCCGAGGGCTGCGGCAAGAGCTTCACCACCGTGTACAACCTCAAGGCGCACATGAAGGGCCACGAGCAGGAGAACTCGTTCAAGTGCGAGGTGTGCGAGGAGAGCTTCCCCACGCAGGCCAAGCTCAGCGCGCACCAGCGCAGCCACTTCGAGCCCGAGCGGCCCTACCAGTGCGCGTTTTCCGGCTGCAAGAAGACCTTCATCACCGTGAGCGCCCTCTTCTCCCACAACCGCGCCCACTTCAGGGAGCAGGAACTCTTCTCCTGCTCCTTTCCTGGCTGCAGCAAGCAGTACGACAAGGCCTGTCGCCTGAAAATCCACCTGCGCAGCCACACGGGCGAGCGCCCTTTCCTGTGTGACTTCGACGGCTGCGGCTGGAACTTCACCAGCATGTCCAAGCTCTTGAGGCACAAGAGGAAGCACGACGACGACCGCAGGTTCACGTGCCCGGTGGAGGGCTGCGGCAAGTCGTTCACGAGGGCCGAGCATCTGAAGGGCCACAGCATCACCCACCTGGGCACCAAGCCTTTCGTGTGCCCCGTGGAAGGCTGCTGCGCCCGGTTCTCGGCTCGCAGCAGCCTCTACATTCACTCCAAGAAGCACGTGCAGGATGTGGACGCCTGGAAAAGCCGCTGCCCGGTCTCCACGTGCAACAAACTCTTCACGTCCAAGCACAGCATGAAAACCCACATGGCCAAGAGGCACAACCTGGGCCAGGACCTCTTAGCCCAGCTGGAAGCGGCCAACTCGCTCACGCCCAGCAGTGAGCTGGCCAGCCAGGGACAGAGTGACCTCAGCGACGCGGAGCTGGTGTCTCTCTTCTCGGACGTGCCCACGGGCGGCGGCTCCGCGGCAGTGCTGGACACGGCGTTGGTGAACTCGGGCATCCTGACTATCGATGTGGCCTCTGTGAGCTCAACTCTGGCAGGGAGCCTCCCCGCAGCTCACGGCAGCGGTTCGCTGGGGCAGGCCGTGGACCCTCGGGCCTTGCTGGCCACCACTGACCTCCCCCAGAGTCTGGATACCTCGCTCTTTTTTGGAACGACCGCCGCCGCTTTTCAGCAGAGCCCCTTAGACATGGACGATGTCTCTAGTCCAAGCGCGGGGCCACTGGGACCTCTGGGCTCTCTGGTTTTGAAAAACTCCGCCCAGGAGCCCCAAGCCCTGACCCCCAGCAGCAAGCTGACGGTCGACACGGATGCCCTGACTCCGTCCAGCACCCTTTGTGAAAACAGTGTCTCAGAGCTCCTGACGCCAACCAAAGCAGAGTGGAACGTGCACCCTGACTCGGACTTCTTTGGACAGGAAGAAGAAACCCAGTTTGCATTCTCCAACCCAGCCGGAAGCCATGGCTGTCAGAAAGAAACGGATCTCATCACAGTGACCGGCAGCTCGTTTTTGGTATGAACCGACTCTCCTCATTCCTCGCCACGTGGCTTACTTTTCTTAACTTACACCCGGTTTTCAGGATGCTCTGGACTAAGGGTTTAAAGGCGGTCTTTTTTTTTTTATAGGTCTGAAAAGGAGCAGAGCCCTGGGCTACAAGTTGGGAGATGTCCGTTCTGATCTTGAGTCGGGAACTGACAAGTTGTGCCACCCTGACTGAGCGAGTCACTTAACCTACCTGAGCCTTAATTTCCTTATTTATAAAATGAGGTGGTTTGAATAGATTGTTTCCAAGGTCTTTTCAGCTCTTTATTTTCACGATGCTGTGCTCTTTTTTTGAAAATTGTAGGGCATTTTAAAGTGATTAAGTATTGCATGTGCTTCTAATGTAATAAAAAGTGCATTGAGAGTTACTGATCAGAGTGGAAATGTTGTTCAATTTTAAAAATAATCGAAATTTTATGCGATGCCAAAGTATTTCTAAAATCTGGTTGTAGAGATTATAAAAACAAAGCTAAAGAAATGGGCTAGTTCTCTTTACCTGTTTATCTTTATAGCTTCTTCTTTGATGTAAGGCTGTGTTGTAGGATGTGCCTGGGCTTCGCTATAACTCAGCCCTGGAAAAAAAATTTGACTGTGGTGTTGAATAAGTGGCCTTAAATAAGTCATTTAGTCTCACTAAGCCTCAGTTTCCTAGCTGTAAAATGGCCATTGCAATGTACATATATCTGGTGCATCTTAGACACTTTTTCTAGCCCAGTAGTTAGTGTTGGAGGGAAAGTGTTAATATGTTTTGGCATGTTTTAGTGAATCTGTCACATTTTCTGTCCTCTCATTCCTTCCTCAAAGAGGAGAAATTGGCATATTTTAATATCACATGTGTTCAGGCAGTAAAGGTTTATTGTAACATTTAGGAACATTAAGAAGTAGGGAAGGAAATCTCTTTCTTCCACGGATTAAGAAGGATTTTTCTCCACACAATTCTTGTATGGCATTGTCTTCATGTCCATTAGATCAAATGGTAGTGTCTTTGCTCTGCATTCAAAGGCAGCCCACAGAGTGACTGCAGCTCCAAGGAAATCTGGGAATGACCCAGAGTGAGATTTTCTCCCCCCTCTCTCTAGAGAGCTAGTTGTGTGCTCTCTCCCAGAGTTGGAATGAGACGTTTTGTTTACATTTTGAGGAAATAGTGTCCATTTTACATGACAGTATAGCATTTTACAGTTTATGTAGCACTTTCCTAAATGTTATATTTGATTCTCACAATTTTGTGAGATAGTGGTGGCCAAGTTTTAACTCTAACTCATTAAAATTTACCTAACTTACATTACACATAAATGTTGCTTAGTAACTAATATATACATATATCTATACATATATATGTGTGTGTGTATACATGTATGTATGTATGTATGTGTATTAACTCCCACCCATCCTACTCTTCTGAGTTTCACGATCACTTGTTTATAACCACTCGCTCCATCCACCTAATTCGATGTCTGTTACCTTCTGCTCACTCTGCTCCCTCTCCAACCGATTCTCTAGCATGTGCACACCAGGACTTGCTGTGATCTCTTTTATTAGACATTTTTTATACTCATCATCTGTCACCCATTCTCCCCATAGCCCATTTTTTGGTTACAAAAGTTACTGCAAGCCTGAGTGTGCACTAAGAAATTATTTTCTGGATTTCGATATCAGTGCGTTTATATATGAATCACATGATAATGGGGATATTTTATGTAAGGTTTTAGTGAGATGTGTACTTCTTTTACTGTTCTAGAGTTTTTTTACCATGTAGTTCTGCTAGCAAACACTATTCATGCCTCTGAATCATTCTAAGCCAGTACTGTTTGCATGTAGGTGTTTGTAATGACAATTACATAGCTGTTTGGCAATGCACTTTACAATTTGCCACTTTGAAGTGCATCTGTACTGTCTTTCTAATTTTTAAATTGGTTGTACTCATTCCGTGGAAAAGCAAAAGTATACATAAATTTGTAATTGAAACAAATGGTCAGAGTTTGATTGTTTGTAACCATTTAACAGTTCTCCCTCAGCACTTTGGAAAGATTTTAAGCCTGTTTTAGAAATATGTTATCATGGGTTAAGTCCCCTTAAATATATTCTTGTTCTTTTCTACAGATAGGAGTGCAGAGGCCTAAGGTGAACATGCAGTTCATAGCATCTGTTAACATATATAACCATAAAATACTTTAAAATCCAGTCACTTTATTTGGTCCCTCAGTCCTATTTTTTCCCATGAAACACTATAAGAAAATATTATGTGGACTTGCCAAAGGACAAATTTTACTTTCTTGAAGATAATCTTGTAATTGTTTGTGGGCTCACATGGTTTCTTTCAGTCAATGTGTTCAGAAGACGGCTCTTTCAATACCATTTTCCCAGCATGATAATGAAAATGGCATGAAATTACAGTCAAAAGTGTGACTACAAACATAATGGTTACATTTCTGTTGGTGTTAGCATAAATATTCCCTTTAAAAAATAATGGGACATGATTTAATGTGCATTATCTTATTTGCCTATTGTGCCTCTTCAGTCCTTGTTTGATTAAAATGTTGCCAATTGAAAATGTGCTTTTTTTTGCAGGAAGGTTTGTGTCAAGGGAACTCTGTTGAACCTTTCATCATGAGTTAAAATATGTTAATCTTGACATTTTATCACTATCTCACTATAGTATTACATAATTGAATGCCTCAAGTCGTAGAAGTAAAACTTGATAGAATGTGAGGATCACTTTTCTCTGTGGATTACATGCTTCATATTCCCATCCAGGAAAATGAAAAGAAAGCTTTTGTATGAGGAGGGTATTTATGACTATTCCTTGATTCCATATAAAGCACTGATTAACTCCCTGTTTGGGAATACTCAGAAGACCTTAGTAATTATTGACATGAAACACACCAAGTTGATAATTTGGGAATAATAAAACTAATTTAGATGCAGCTCACTTGAAATATGTGATAATTGAAATATAAGACTGACCTTAAATTTATGGATATATTGCTTTTGAACAAAATATTTGCTTAACAATTTTTTTTAAAAAGTGAAACATGTATTAGGGATTTAGAGAACAGATTATCTAAATACTTTTACAGAACACAACTACATATAAAAAGCAAATCACTCATTACAAATTAATTTTTTATATTGTTAAATCTGTATTGATGGTGCTTTTAGTAACAGTGTTTAAGCTGGAGACCTTATTGTGTATTTTAAGTTAATTTACTGAATACATGCAAAATACAAGCTATAGTAGTAGGGATATAGATAAGAGGAGTAAAATGTGAGCAGCATGTTAATTTCAGAGAGGACATACGAGTTTATATATTAAATATTTCAGAGCTAAATACCAGCAAACATATTTCAGACACCATATTAATGGCTTGGAGGAAAAGGAGGGACAGTAGTTACGCTTTAATGGGTGGCTATATTTAGTTATATAGAGAAGGAGTAGATGAATTCCAGCCAGAGAGAAAAGCACAAGGAAAGGGTTTGAAATGGAATTGAGCACACAGACACTGGTAAAGACAACCTAACTCAAATACAGAGCTCATGTTTGGTAAGTGCTGGGTGTCAGGATTACACTGCCAGTATGGAACCAAACTGGAGAGCTGTGAAAAACAGTCACGGCGGATATGGACATGGTTAAGAGCAAGTGAAGATACTTAAGAAGCAAAGTCAAATGATGCATACATAGGAAGTTTAACATAATAGACATGTACGATGTAGATGGGATTGGGGGAGATAGGAAAATCATTTAGAAGTTTATTGTAATAATTTCAGGGTGCGGTGATGAAAGCTAGGACTGGAGTTGTGTCAGGAAGGGACAGATATTGGAGATGTTTCCAAATTGAGGAAACATATAACTTTGTGACTCATTGACTATATGGGACATCCATCAGAAAAACAAAGATCAAAAATGACTTCTAAAGATTTATTAGAGTGTAAAAAAGGTCAGTTATTGAAATTTTCTCAGAAACATATGTTAGGTTGTCGGAAAAGTCATGACGTAGTTTTTCTATGTTTTTCGTTGCAAAAATGTGTCATGACTTTTCCAATGACCCGATAAGATGATTAGAGCATGTTGCATTCATTGAGAAATGACCAGTCATAGTTACCCCTAAATAGATTATACATACTGTGGTTTCCACACATTATACACACTATTAGACATCAGAGGCCACTTCATCTCCGTTGGCTCCTTCATATGTTCTCAGATTCACATTTAATGTTTGCACTCTTGTTCGCCTTTGAGTATTTACAGGCCTCTTCAACCTCATCCAGTACCCTCCCCGAATACTCTGCATCAAAATGAGCTGTCTGACCTTTCTTACTAGCACTCTTCCCTACTATGGATATTCAATGTGTATTTTATGTGGTACTTAGTAATATAATAGATCATTTCTCCGTCAGTTGGGAGATGCTGTTTAGTCATTAATTTCAATAGCTCCTCAATTTAACTTTGTTAGATTGAGTTTTACCTGTATTAGTTTGGAAGAGACAGTCCTAGGATTCAAAGCCAACTTCCACATGATCCCTGGGGCTCCCTACTCATAATCACTAATTAACATGGTGTGGGAACTCAGGCACAGGAATCACATCCTCTGTTATCTACATACCCTAACATATTTTCTCCTTTTCATTGTTACCCTCACTACTAATGGTGATGACTCTGAAGGGAACCTAAAGAAAAAGCAAAAGAGGAAATAAGTAGCATAACTACCCTGCGATACATTTTGTTTGATAGTGAATTTGCTGTCCTGCATTGTCAACAGAGCACTTCATCTTATTCTAGTTTTCCTCTGACATTTTTGGACTTGGAAAACACATTATCTGTCACTTGGCCTACAGGAAATAATTCAGTATTTTAAACAAAGCTGACAGTGATTCTTAAGAGCACTGATAAGGTGGTACATGCCTTAGTAATATCTCTGTGTGAGTGTGGCACTATGAGGTATAACAGAAAAACAAACATTTTGAGCACACATTTGCCAAGTTTTGTTCTTGTGCTCACACACATGATCTAGATAGAGAAACAAAAATCAAGCAATGAAAAATATAATCAACTTCTAAATGGTTACATTTGGAATAATATAGATTTAAGTAGAATCGCTAAATATTGTGATGAAAATCCAATGCACAGATTATCAATAGCTATTTCAAAAAATTCTAAGAATCTAAAATTTAATCAGGGATTCAGCAATTTGGGTAAACTATCCTATTAAAATGTAGACAGAATTTTGAGTGGTAGCTTAAATAATTATAGCAAAATCCTTTGGGAAATACATTTTAAATTATGTTTTATTTTTATTTATTCTAGGTAGGAATCCAGGATGTAGTAAGTGTTATATCTGAAAATGATCTTTTGGAAATAATATAAGACAGA